CATAGGGGGTCATATGATTGTTGGGTTTTTCTCTGTATGTATTACTGTAGGGTCGACCTTACAATATAAAGCACCTTGAGGCAACTGTTGTTGTGATTTGGTGCTGTGTAAATAAATGAAATTGAATTGAATTGAATTACAAGAAGGCCTATGACTCAATGCCCCCACAGCTGGATCCTGGAATGCATGGAATTGTACAAGATCAATGGGACCCTAAGAGCCTTCATCAGGAACTCAATGGGGATGTGGCATACAACACTAGAGGCCAACTTCAAGCCCATAGCACAAGTCAGCATCAAGTGCGGGATCTACCAAGGAGATGCTCTGTCCCCACTGCTTTTCTGCATAGGACCGACTGCAGAATGGAGCAGCAGAAGGAAGGAGGCCGGGGATTGGTGAGTGTCAGCACCACAGTCCAGGATGAGACAACAAATATCCATGAGTACATCGTGAAGATGTCCCCAACCAACCGCATGCTCAGTGAATACCTCAGGCAGCAGAAACCCAAGAGGAGGAACTATCATGGAAGGACTGGCCCTCAGGAAGAAGGAACATGAGAAGCTCAGAGAAGAGCTGGAGAAGATGTGGAGGGTTAAGGTGACAGTGGTCCCAGAGCACTAGGTGCAGTGACCCCCAAACTAGGCGAGTGGCTCCAGCAGATCCCAGAAACAACATCGGAGATCTCTGTCCAGAAGAGCGCAGTCCTAGGAACAGCTAAGATGCTGCGCAGGACCCTCAAGCTCCCAGGCCTCTGGTAGAGGACCCAATTTTGATGGATAGACCGCCCGCAGGGACGAGTGGGGAATTTTTTGTTTGACATGACTCCAGTAGTGACAGCAGTGAATCAAAAGTGCAACAAATTGTCAGCGAGTCAGTGTTCTTGCCTTGATTAAGTTAACAACTTTGTCTCGCATGTGCTTCAAAAATGCAAAGTTACAGAATCAGAATCAGAAAGACTTTATTTATCTCCAGGGGGCAATTAAGATACAACAGAGCAGCATGACGTTGAAGGTAAGGACAGGGCATAAACATGGTAAATGGTAAATGGCCTGTATTTGTATACTTAGTCCCTATGGACCCCAAGGCACTTTGCACTACATTCAGTAATCCACCCATTCACACACACATTGACACACTGTAGCCACAGCTGCCCTGGGGTGCACTGACAGAGGCGATAACATACAATAATAGTGAAATAATAAATACACAAAATATACAGTATATACACAGTTTTAAAATTAAAGTGACTGAATAGGTGAATAAATAACTGTAAGTGACTAAAAGTGAGTAAAGTGTCGGCAGTATAAAAGAGTGTAGAGTAGTTTCTGTTTCTGGTGTGGGAAACGGTCTCATCGGCTGGAGTTAAAAAGCAGAGCTGCTTTGGGGACAAAGGTGGCGCTTCTCCTCCTCTCAGTCCTGCAGGAAATGCAGCGGAGGCGTCACCCAGAGGGGAGCCATTGAAACGCGGGGTGAAGAATGTGAGAGGGGTCGCTGATGATTTTGGCTGCCTGTCTGAGGGCCTGTTGACAGGCCAATGACTGTAGAGCACATTGATGCAGTACGCTGCAGTCTGTTCCTGTATGAAGGCTGAGGCAGTGGAACCAGCAGGTGATGGAGAAGGTCATGATGCTTTCCAGGAAAGCATAGTAAAAAGTCATCATGATGGCTGTGCTGACTCCAAAGGAGGTATAGCTGTTGGTGGCACCTCCTGAGAATCTCCTCAGTGTTGGCAGAGAATCTCAGGAGGTTGTCAAAGATGGTTCGCAGGTATTTGTACTCCTCAACTACCTCCACTGGCTTCCCGTGGATGGTGGTGGTGACTGAAGCAGCCAGATCCCTCTGCCTGCTGGAGAAGGTCACCACCTTTGCTCACGTTCAGTTCAAGTTTGGAGCTGTCACACCACTCTACAAACTCCTGCAGAGCGGCCGTGGTGCTGTGAGGGCCTGACAGCAGTGACAGGAGAACTGTGTCGTCAGCATATTTCACCAGGTGACAGATCTGTGTGGATCTGCAGTCATCAGTGTAGAGGATGAAGAGCAGGGGGGAGAGCACACAGCCCTGGGGGGAGCCAGTGGAGCTGAGACCGGAAAGAGAGTTGTTGACCCGTCCTGTTGGTCAAAAAGTCCAATATCCACAGGCAGTGTTGGTCAAGTTACTTTAAAAAAGTAATCAGTAACTAATTACTGATTACTTCCCCAAAAAAGTAATCCCGTTACTTTACTGATTACTTATTTTCAAAAGTCTTTAGTTACTTAGTTACTTAGTTACTTTTTAAAACATGATTTATCCCCTAAATAGGTGATAAAGCGATAGATCTTTCAGCCCAATTCTACTTTTTCTACATAATCCATCATACAAAATGTAATCAAATGGAAAAGTCTCTTTTTAAAACTTGTTTTATTAGTTTTAATCTTTTAACTTTATGCATCAAGCAAAGATTAAATTATATGCAACATTCTCTGACTGGAAGAAATTAGTTTAACATTTAAACCTATTTTCTGCACATTCCAGCACATAAAATAAAATATTTTTGTGTTTACACTCACTCTTTCAAATAGATGCAAGTAAAACACAGCAGAAAATAAATAAAGTCAAAGACTCAGCGGTCCTTTTGCTCTATTTCCACCTGTAAAGCAGGAGTGGGGTAGGCGGAGGTTTACCCTGGTGCAGGTGTGCTGCAGCTGTCAGTGGAAGGATCTGTGAATTTCCCATTACGTCGTAGCTACTCGGTGCTTGCTTGGACGTTTAGGGGGTTTTTCGCTGTAAAAAGAAGTTTTCTTCCCACGCACAGCGGACACTAATGTTTTTGTCACTTTTTATGGAATCAAACTCAAAGTAAGGTCAGTACTTCCACGCTTTAAACGCTGCACGCTCATACTCTCTGCCGCACTCGATATATGATCCACTGTTGATCTGCACACAGCTGTTGTCACTAACGTCGCGCTTGCTTACGTCACTGTCACGAGACACTCTTGCAAAAAAATCACGATTTTAGTAACGCAGTAACGCAGCGTTCCTACGGGAAAGTAACAGTAATCTAATTACCTTTTTTGCAATAGTAATCCCTTACTTTACTCGTTACTCGAAAAAAGTAATCAGTTTACAGTAACGCGTTACAAGTAACACGTTACTGCCCATCTCTGTCCACAGGATTAGCTGATCATCCAGGTGAAATCAGAAGGAAAGTTTAGTGGGCAGGATACGAGGCTGCAGAGTGATGCATGCTGATGAGAAACCAGCAAACAGAAGTCTGGTGGAGGAGTCAGGGAACTCCAGATGTTTGTGGATGGAGTCCAAGATGAAGGTTGTTGCATCATCGACGCCTCTGCGTGCACGGTAAGCAAACTGGGGAGGGTCCATCAGTGGGTCAGTTGCTCTTGATGTGCTGTTTTATGATCTTCTCCATGGCCTTCATCACCAGGGAGGTGAGGGCCACAGGACGAAGATCATTCAGAGACTTTGGGTTGTTTCTTTTGGGGACGGTGTGACTGTCAATTGAGTTTTGAAATAGAGTCCAGAACACACTTCCTAGTTGCCCTGTCTCAGAACTCGCCTGCTGATGTTGTCAGGGCCAGACGTGTTCCGCTGCTGAAGCCAGTGCATGTCCAGGCCCGTCTGAAGTTTGCCAGAGAGCACATGGATGATACAGCAGAGGATTGGGAGAATGTCATGTGGTCAGATGAAACCAAAGTAGAACTTTTTGGTATAAACTCAACTCGTCGTGTTTGGAGGAAGAAGAATACTGAGTTGCATCCCAAGAACACCATACCTACTGTGAAGCATGGGGGTGGAAACATCATGCTATGGGGCTGTTTTTCTGCCAAGGGGACAGGACGACTGATCCGTGTTAAGGACAGAATGAATGGGGCCATGTATCGTGAGATTTTGAGCCAAAACCTCCTTCCATCAGTGAGAACTTTGAAGATGAAACCAGGCTGGGTCTTCCAACATGACAATGATCCTAAACACACCGCCCGGGCAACAAAGGAGTGGCTCCGTAAGAAGCATTTGAAAGTCCTGGAGTGGCCTAGCCAGTCTCCAGACCTCAACCCCATAGAAAATCTGTGGCGGGAGTTGAAAGTCCGTGTTGCTCGGCGACAGCCCCAAAACATCACTGCTCTCGAGAAGATCTGCATGGAGGAATGGGCCAAAATACCAGCTACTGTGTGTGCAAACCTGGTAAAGACCTATAGTAAACGTTTGACCTCTGTTATTGCCAACAAAGGTTATGTTACAAAGTATTGAGTTGTATTTTTGTTATTGACCAAATACTTATTTTCCACCCTGATTTACCAATAAATTCTTTACAAATCCTACCATGTGGATTCATGGATTTTTTTTTCACATTCTGTCTCTCACAGTTGAAGTGTACCTCTGGTGCAAATTACTGACCTCTGTCATCATTTTAGGTGGGGGAACTTGCACAATCGGTGGCTGACTAAATACTTTTTTGCCCCACTGTACTAACCCCAAATTGCTCTCCGATGCGTTCATTGGAGTGTGAATGTAGAGTCGTTTGCACTTGTGTTTAGAACTGCTTGTATGAGTGGGTGTGAATGAGGCATGTTGTATAGAACCCTTTGAGTACTCTGGGAGAGTAGAAAAGCGCTATATAAGAATCAGTCCATTTACCATGTTTAGTCTCCTAACAACAATTCAAATTGTAATCCTTGTGTTTAAGGATTTACCTCGTTAAAAACTATATTCTGCATCAATCTTTTTTGTGTGCTGACATCTTTCAGAGCTAGCAAACCCACACCTCTCACAAACGTACAAAACACACAGTACACCGTTCTCTGGAGATGATCAATGAGTGTTTGATGTCTAAGATGGAACAAGCTGCATTATACTTATTTACATTTGAATTCTAATTTCCCATTCACCTTTAGATGTCAGAGACACCAAAAGGCTGTGGCCTGCAAGGCCAAACAATGCCCATGCGTAATCTATGGTGATGATATTTGCTTCTCTGTGAGCTCTGTTTGAGCTGATTTTGTACCTGTGGATGCTGAGCTGCAGGGCTCTGGTGTGTTCCCGGTCAGACAGAAAGCTCTGCTGCTGTGTGCAGTCGACTCCATTATTGGAGTCTCGCAGCAGCCACTGCTCTCTCAGAGCCTTTTTCTGTACAGAAGAACAGAATTATCATTAGTGTGGATTGGGACTGGAAGTAAAAATGCAGGTCTGCAAACAGGTAGGACGACTATCCTGCCTTTCTCTCCTCACCCCAACCAGTCGTGGCCATCTGCTGCGACATTCCTGTTAAAATGGAGTTTTTCCTTCCCACTGTCATCAAAGTGCTGCTCATAGGGGGTCATATGATTGTTGGGTTTTTCTCTGTTGTATTATTGTAGGGTCTACCTTACAATATAAAGCACCTTGAGGCGACTGTTGTTGTGATTTGGCGCTGTATCAGTAAAACTGAATTGAAATGAATTGATTACTTCTGCAGTTCATGCTGATAATACACATCCAATGAAATGATTTGCTCTACACTTTATCTGCTGTTATAGCCGATCATTTATTCAAACCAACCTTCAGATGTTGCAGTTTGAATTTCTCTTGATCGAGTTTCACTTTCTTCTTTTTAATGTCCTCTTGAATTCGATGCTTCTGCTGTTTCATCAAAAGCAAAAGCTTAAATGAGTGAATATATGAAACATTTACAATTGACAATGGATTGTCAGAATAAGTCAAATATCTATTGAAAATGTAACCCAGTGAGTTTACACGACTCTGTAATGCACTACAACATTGTTATTGCTAATTGTGATTCATCGTTACTCTGTTAATCACTGAGTTGAGCTAAAGTAAATCAATAATAAAAGATAAATAATCTGAATATAAAAATAAAACCCCAGAGAGTATATTTGACACCCCTACTGGTTAGGAAGGAACAAGCCCCGCCTTCCCCTGCTCTTTATGTGCTCAGACACAGAGAAAGAGGAGGTGCACCGTCGCTGATTTTCACCGCCAAGCTTGTTGCTGGAAAATAACTATAAACTTGATAAATTGAGCAAATATCCATACCGGAGATCTGCATGGACCTTGGAGAAACGGACCTGATTTGTTTTGAACATTTTGGACTTTGGAACCATTGCCGTGAGTCAGAAGCTAACCTTCAAGCTAACAAGCTAACAAGAAGTTAACCGGGAATATAATGGCCCAATTTCAATGTTGTAGATCTGCACGGGTGCGGATGAAGTGGGCAAGATCCTTTCTGAGAGTTGAACATTAGAAGCGTGCTGGTGAGTTAAACTGGGACTGGGCGAATCAGGCTAATTAACAAGCTAATTAGCTTAACGCTCGTAGCTGTAGCTGGAGCCGACCACGTTTTCACTGTGGGAGAACACACGGGGTTTGGAGTTCAGCTACTCTGAGCACTCAGCTTGTGTGCTGAGTGCTGTGCACTAAAATAAGATGATGGGATGAAGTTAATTTTGATCTTAAAGGTTATGAATCTATTTTATTTGATGCTCGAGCGGCACTGTAAAGATGCCTCTGCATATTCTTACTGTGCTGATACGTTACCACATACTGTAGAACTACAGCCTGTGGGCTTTTGTATATTTTTGGTCATTTTATTTTGTACATTGAGTGTAATTAACATATTGCTTCGTTGCTATGCAGTGCAAAGCAAGGCTCCTGTAATTCAGTAAAAGGGGCAGTACTGGGAAAGATAATCTACCATAGTTCATGGTTTATTTCTGGTTTCTGATAGAAATGTGCACCTTGATGGAAAAATAAGCTGATTGTGATTTAAAGATTGCATTCATGATTAAGACGCACTGTATAGACTGTAATTAGAAATTAGAATTAATGTTTTGTGCTTGATTTGTTATAGCACTTAAATTATTTACATATGGCCATATATATCATTAGAGTGTGAGTTGAATTAGTAAAAGCCCTGTTGTTTACAGGCTAGGCTTTTTTGGGGGATCGTGCAACCTGGATCTCTTCCTGACGAGGAAGATGGCGAGCCGTTCCCTTTGAACCGAACCACAGCCATTCCGAGTTGGCCCAGAAGGGCAGGTTGCTCTTCTCTCACGAAGAATTGCAGCAGAGCGGTTGGACAAAATCACTGAACACGGACTATTAAGCCGGCAAGACTGACATATCTGAGCTCAGATAGGATTCTGGTTACTATTATTATTGCTGTTGTTGTATCTTATTTAATGTTTCATTCCTGTTTATGAAGTGCTGTTTAATTGTTGCTATATAATTCAGTACAATTCAAAGCAACTTTACCTGTGGCTCCACTCATTCTTCTGCACGCCACTCACCATGACCCTCCTGCGAGTCGAGCTATTGGCCCATTCTCTCCATCCTACTTTAACTTCCCCTACCCTGTCCTGTACTTGGCTACAAAAGCAAACTAATCCTCAGAGTAGTTTAAACTGTTTCATTTAAGTTTTAAATGTTCCAAAGTTAAGTGAATGTTAAAGGACAGAAAAAGGTCATAAACAAATGACAAAAGTACTAATTTACATTTTTTAGAGTCAAAAGCCACAAAGATTTAATTTGTTACTTATTTAAATAATAATAATTATTTGTAAGTCACATGTTTTATTTTAGAGTACAGTAAAAAAAGAAAAAAGGTACAGACTGTACATGTCTCAGTAACATCTGCATCATGCTCTAAAACTTCTAAATGAAAGTGTGAATAATTGTCACATAGATAAGCAGATATCTTTAGAAGTGTAGCACAAGTGTCTGTGACTGCTCAGAGTAGACGGGAGCATTACAGTGATGGCCTGGAGCCTCTCCTGGAGCAGGTCACTCTCCTCCATACTGCTTCAGGATCAACACAGAGACTGGAGACGAGAAGAAAGAGAACCTGTCAGATGCCTTTATTTCACAGTATCACTTATAAACATGACCACCAGCAACATTAACCACATTTACAAACTCAAACTGACGGTTCAATATAAGAGAATAAGCATCTGCAGTGTGAGTCATGCAAAGCTGCCTGAGTAGAAGAATAAAAATATGAAGACTGAAATGAGCAGCATGAAACAGCTGTTTCCAGCACCCTGACACAACGGTACACTGTGACATCACTATTTTATTTCAGTATTCATTCCTCTGACAGCACACTGCCACCTGCCAGCTTGTTCACTCTTTACGACACAGTCATCTGCTTATCCTAAACGAGCCATTTGTAACTTTTGTCTCACTCTAATTAAAGAAAGGCGGAGAGAGGCTTTATCTACAAGTCCATCAAGTAACCTGTCACTGAAGCGCTAAGCTAATCTGCTCATGAGCCTGATAATCTGCGTAAACCATCTGCTTGCCAACCACAGGCAGGGCTGCTGTGTGGTTTAGACTCTATTAACTGAAAAGTCTGAACTTTTTATTTATAGGAAATGTTAGAAATCACACAGAACACATCGTTCTCCTTGAGTAATGCACTGGATCCACACCAGACTGCTTCTGTTGTGGGTTCTTTTCTCGCTTCATAAAATTCAGATTCGTTTTTTTGTGTGTTATCTAGATAAGAAATAGATATAAGTGCTGAAATGTTTATGCCTTTAAACAAGAATCACACTGTTCATGGGTGCAGAGCTCTGTGTTACTGATTTATCAATGCACATGTAAATACATCATGAACTGGGTAATTCCACATACAGTGTTGCCAAAACTATTCGTCTGCCTTCACAAGCATATGAACTTGAGTGTCGTCCCATTCTGAATCCACGGGGTTTAATATAACATCGTCCAACTCTTTGCAGGTATAACAGCTTAAACTCTTCTAGGGAGGCTTCCACAAAGGTTTTAATTGGGATGTCTGACCATTATTCAGAAGCACATCTGTGAGGTCAGACACTGATGCTGGCTCACAGTCTCAGCTCGAATTCATCTGCGTGTGTTCTGTTGGGTTCATGTCAGGAACCTGTTCAGACCAAACTTGCTCGTCCATGTCATTCCCAAATTGTTCCCACAAAGTTGGAAATGTGACATTGCCCAAAATGTCTCGGTATGCTGAAGCATCAGGAGTTCCTCTCACCGGATTTAAGGTTACAAGACCTGAAAATCAGCCCCGCACCACAAGCCCACTTCCACTTGGCACAATGCAGCCAGACAAGTACCACTACAAGAACTGTGATTTCAGGTCGTGGTGGATGACTTGCTGCGTACCAGGACAGATTCAAATGAAGGCTGATCAAATGTATGATCTGAGTTACAGATGATTACGGGCTGTTCCCTGAAATCCTTTTATTGTACTTTAATCTATCGACCTCCTGGAGCTGCCCTACTCGGCACAGATGTTCCTGTACACTATGCCGGCCACTTGGTTATGGCGTTCCATGTATGCCCTGCCTGCTAGCATCTTGCACCCTGCTGTTATGTGCTGGATTGCTTCAATCTCAACCTGAGATTGATTCAAGACTTATGTTATTATTGGGCACCAGCATATCAAAATGCTCCCTAACTGCTGATGTTTTTTGAGATTCTCCATGCAAGCTTCATGTGCTTAAAATCTCCGTGCAAGCTCGTGATGATCCTCAGAATCACCTCAGATCCAGTTCATGTCAAAAACTCATTCCCATGTGTTTGTGACAGCTTGAATCCCATAACGAGACAGTGATGTCATTTCAAGGAAACGGGGCCTTGTTTATCTTTTATCACGTGATAAAGATAAGACCAATAAGCAGCCTCGACATGGGCTTCATCTGGACACGCCCCTCAATAAACACAGGCCTCAGGGCTTTAACATTACTGCTCACCGCTTCACCTGCCTGCCCACCCTCCGGTGCCTTGACCCCACCCCCCAACTTCCCACCGTGCAGACTCTCACCCTTCCTGGATGTCACCTTCATATACCAAGTAAGCAATCAGTCACATCTCAGCTGTGGATAGTTTTGGGATTTGTTTTGTGTGAAATAAATCTTTGTGAAAAACATGTTCTGTACTCTTTGTGTGTGTGTGTGTGTGTGTGTGTGTGTGTGTGTGTGTGTGTGTGTGTGCGTGTTACAGTTGCTACACAGCCAACTGTAGCCGATTAGAGCCTGCGAGACTCAACTTTGCTAATTTGAATGAATAAATTGGACCTTTCCTGTGTGTGTCTGTGTGTGTTGATTGTGACTGCAATTACAAAGCTTGCTAGCATGTCTTAACACTTCACCCTGTGGTCTGAAATATGTTCACTTTAGAGCTAACATGACTGATGTCAGGAAAGAAAACAAAAACCCACCAATGGTGCGGCTTCAAAAAGTCCAGAAACAATGGGTGACCTTAAAATAATCACCCTGCTTACTGAGAGTCAAGTCAAAAAGGAAATGAAGCTACATAAAGTGTGTGAAGGATTTTCAGTGAGTGCAAACTGAAGGCTACAATATGCTGTAAGCCCTGCAGGGACGATCAGTCAGGATGAGCAGAAGCTTAGAGAATTAAGGAGCTATCTCTACCTCTCCCGTTTGGTCCTGTTTCTGTTGTAGAATAAAGGTCAGCTCAATTTAGCACATTAACTATTTATAAAACATTTTTATATCTGCTTCCCTACATGACTCCAAAACAAACGTTGCTACCAGCAGAGGATAACAGCCTTTGTCAAGATGCTATCAAACAGTTTCTATGCTGCAGACTGACAGCTTGCATTATTTGGGAGGATAAAAGACGTAGGCCTACTTCATATGGGAACATTTGAGTCTTTCTGACAGGACAGGACGTTTTCTTAAAGAACAACAACAAACCTCACAGAATACTTCAACTTCACGTTATTAATTATTGAAAGACAAGCATATATTTGTTCACCTACCCAGAGGATGGTCTTTTCTCGTGGCTGCCACGCAGGACTCCTCAGACAGCCCACAGGTACAGGTGGGCGGGTCTTTGTGATGCTGATTGACAGCTGTCAACCTAGCGGCCAATAGCAATGAGAAGTGTATGGGCAGAAATCTGTGCCATCAGAAACTGAATTTGAATAAGTTCAATTTGAATTTGAATTGCTCAGATTGAATCTGAATTGTAACTGGAATAAATGCTTTTGAAAACTGAATTTGAATTAGTCTAATTTGAAATTGAATTTATATTTTGAAAATGAATTGATTTGCTTTGAAACTGCATTTTATCCTTTAAAAATTCAGCTCTTGAATAATTTCAGTTTCACTTCTCACCATTCAGTTTCAGTTCTACAATTCAATTTCAGTTCCAAAATTCAGTTTTTTGGAACTTACATCCGGTTCCGGTTCAAGCGCAGATTAATAGAACTACGTTTTACTAGCGGACCGAAAGTGTTACTGACGGGAATCTACAGCGTCTTGAGCTGAATTAAGACTTCAGAAGTCATTCGTCATGTCGAATGACCAGCGGATAAACTCTCAGGTTGGTAATAAATGTATTACATGTATAAGAACAAGCGTCATGTTAACAAATGATAGCCGTAAGGTAACTTTTATGCTTATTGTAGCTGCTAGCTAAAAACGCTAATTTAGCGTAGTTTGCCCCGAATTCAGCTTTGAAAAACAAATATGATCGACTGTTTCTAGTAGAATTCCAAAGTTGTCATCTTGGACCCTCTCAGAGTACCCCCTCTGTATGCTTGCAGAGACCCCTACAGTAGGGAAACATGCAAAACGGTGTCCAAACCTTTGTGTTTTAGCTTTATTTATGTCTTACACAGCATCCCAACTCTTTAGCTAACTTAATAACTTTAGCTAAAGTGAATAGTTAGTCTAATTCATTAGTGCAGCATTACTGGATCACCTCTGTTTGAAGTGATATAATATGATATACAACTATATCACTTTGTTTAACTACCATAATAATTCTTAGGGTACTGAGTGAATGCTTAATTAGTTTTTTTTTTTTAAACATACTGCTCCATTACTATGTTTGACAGGCTGAAGTTGTCGGGTCACCTCCTAAATTGACCATCTTTTACAGGTGTTTTGTGCCAGAAATGGAGTGTCCACTGAAGACTGAAGATACTGAATCTCTACGCCTTGCCATCCATCCCTCTTGTGCCTTCATCTAGACAAGAGACATTAACTTAACCACTCTCATATGCTCTGTACCTACATCACCTTCCCTGACAGTCGTAGCTTGGCTCATCTGAGGGTGAAATTATAAGAATGTGTTATTTTGCAAAGTGCTCTCTCGGGTTCCTAAATAAAATATGGCATTGAGGTCATTTCTTTTGAATTAATCCCTTCTTCTGAAATATAAGAACCTCTCCTGGTTTTAATGGCACTTTGGATTTCCTTACTTTCTGTTCCACTTCCAAACCCAAATAGATGCTGACAAGCTGACACAGTAACATGGAAGAGGGAAAGAAGTTGGAAAGGACTACTACAAATAAACCCAATGCCTAACAATGAAAAGTGTAAAATAAGAACAACAACAATAATAATAAAAATAATAATAATAAAGATAAAAGATGAAGTAACAACTTTTTAGTTTTTAGTTTATTCCAAATTATCATCCAGATGTCTGTGACATGTGATGACAAACACCATAATGGAAGGCCTTAGTCATCACTTGCTTAAACTCATATATTTTTGCATATGCTGAACAGGCAGTCAGACATGCTGTAACTGTGGGGTGGAAAACAGCATGAACACCATACGGCAGGGGTCTCAAACTCCAGTCCTCGAGGGCATGGAAAAGTTGCATGACACCGGCCCTCGAGGACTGGAGTTTGAGACCCCTGTCATACGGAATATGACAGGTGTGGTTGAACTGCATGAAGACTCTGAAGTTTCTCTTCTCTTCTGGCAGGACAGTAATGTGGCCTTGTCCTGTGAGCCACTGTAAGGATGTACTTAGAGTAGAACTGGACTGTCACCGGCCTCAAGCTCTTCACCCTTTTCAAAGACAAAGCAGTCATTTAGATAAAATATTAGATATTGTTTACCTGTAAATGCACAAAGTAAATTTAGAAATGTAATTATTGTCAAGAGTGAACAAGCACTGATAGTGTAATCTGCAGCTGTGGCCAAACGTTTAGAGAATGAGATGTGTTGTTTGCTTATTTACAAAGTTTGCTGTTTCAGTGATAGTTGTATATCACTTCAAACAGAGGTGATCCAGTAATGCTGCACTAATGAATTAGACTAACTATTCACTTTAGCTAAAGTTATTAAGTTAGCTAAAGAGTTGGGATGCTGTGTAAGACATAAATAAAGCTAAAACACAAAGGTTTGGACACCGTTTTGCATGTTTCCCTACTGTAGGGGTCTCTGCAAGCATACAGAGGGGGTACTCTGAGAGGGTACAAGATGACAACTTTGGAATTCTACTAGAAACAGTCGATCATATTTGTTGTCAAAGCTGAATCCAGGGCAAACTACGCTAAATTAGCGTTTTTAGCTAGCAGCTACAATAAGCATAACAGTTACTGTACGGCTATCATTTGTTAACATGACGCTTGTTCTTATACATGTAATACATTTATTACCAACCTGAGAGTTTATCCGCTGGTCATTCGACATGACGAATGACTTCTGAAGTCTTAATTCAGCTCAAGACGCTGTAGATTCCCGTCAGTAACACTTTCGGTCCGCTAGTAAAACGCAGTTCTATTAATCTGTGCTTGAACCGGAACCGGATGTAAGTTCCAAAAAACTGAATTTTGGAACTGAAATTGAATTGTAGAACTGAAACTGAATGGTGAGAAGTGAAACTGAAATTTGTCGAGAGCTGAATTTTTAAAGGATAAAATGCAGTTTCAAAGCAAATCAATTCATTTTCAAAATATAAAATGCAATTTCAATTTAGTGATGATCATTTTCAAACCATAAATTCAATTTCAAATTAGACTAATTCAAATTCAGTTTTCAAAAGCATTTATTCAAGTTACAATTCAGATTCAATCTGAGCAATTCAAATTCAAATTGAACTTATTCAAATTCAGTTTCTGATGGCACAGATTTCTGCCCATAGAAGTGTTGCCACTCGTCCACCATGTTACAGTCAAACACCACTATGTTTGACTGTAAAACCATGAGATGCTATGTAAACAGGGTTACATTGGCACTTAGTGAAACTTACTCTTTTCTTTCTTTCCTTTGTCTGCAATTAGCCACTTATTGTACCTAAGAATGTGAATAATTTAATGACAATACAGAATCAATCATTCCCTCCAGTGAAATTATTTTGTGGTTGCTCAAATTTAAAATTTAAATTTTTCACAGTATCACAGTTTCACAGTAAATTTTTGAAAAAAAGTTTTGAAAGCAACACCTTGTTTGTGTCCAGCTTGACTGTCCAATAAGAAGTCTGTGTATACGATGGGAGACATGCATGACGATTCATTTGAATACTATTTGTCCTCGATCTGCTCAATTCCTTTATTTTGCTGATGTTGAGCTTAAGCCCACTCAGGTCAGTTTAAATGTATTTATATAGCACGATAACAGGTGATTTATATCTTAAAGATCCTACAATAATGATAATACACTCTACAAATGCTATCCAACATATTATGATAGTGTGACCATAGAAGGGAAAATGGGGGCATAGTCATCCTGAGAGGCAGTTTGAAATCATAATATATACGTCTGTAGATACGAAGGATGCAGCATGACCCAGATGCTTATCAGGACTTTCCTTCTGTGTCATTTCACTTTCTCACTTTTGCATTTTGCAGCGCTCTGCTCTCTGCTGCCAGCTTTGGTCAGAACTCCTCTTTCCTCCCCGGCCTCTACTGAAAGGCACGATTAGATGACGCTTGCTGGCTTCCCCTGACACCACACCCTGACCCTGCTGCTCCACCCTGCACCACCAACCCCTCCACAATGTAAACAAATTATCTTTGAACCTGACAAAAACGAAATTTATAGTTTTTGCCAGAAATTCTACCCGATTTCTGGAAATCGGGTAAAAGAGGATGAACTCTGTCCATTGATGGAGTTTTGACTGAGAGAGTTACTGAACTCCGTTTTTTGGGGGTAGTATTGGATGATAATTAAAATGGAAATCTCATATTGAACATGTTAGAAAAAAGATGGTTAAAAATATTTATATTCTGGGTAATGTCAGAGATATACTAGATTATAAGGCAATGCGTATTTTATATTTCTCACTAATTTTCCCCTATCTCAGTTATTGTGCTGAGGTGTGGGGGAATACATATGCGACTAAAATAAATCCTCTATACTTGTTACAGAAGAAAGTGGTACGAATGGTTCATAATGTTAAATATAGAGAACAAACAAATAATCTGTTTATAAAATCAAAATTGTTGAAATTTGAAGACTTAGTGAAATTACAGACATTATTATTCATGTGCAAGGCAAGAAATAACACATTACGTCTTAAGTTACAAAGTTTGTTTGTATTGTGTTCAGGAAGTGGGGACAGTAGAAGGAAGTTTGACTTTAAGCATCAGTTTGCAAGGACCACACAAAGGCCAATGTGTCCAACAGTCAAAGGTCTAAGAATCTGGAATTCAAGATAATCTCAAGAGTTGTACAAACATGCACCGTTTTAAAAGTGTTACATACTTAAAAGGATAAATCAATATGAAGAACATGAAAGTAATTAGGGCTAAATGTGGAAGGAAATTTTTCATTGCCATGTAGTAGTGCTGTATATTGTGATTATACTGATGTGTTAGGTTTGCATTGTGCCATAAAGATACATGTTAGAGGGTTTTTTGGGTTGTTGGCGCCCTCTTGTAAGAATAATTAGATTGCAGATAGGGGCCAGGTGCTAACAAGAATTTATTCTTCTTCCTGCTCTTTTTCACTCATGGGTGCGGTGTCATATTAATGGGAAGGAGGATCTGTGCGTAGGAATATGAAACATTGTTGAACCATGTGTGAAATAAATAAATAAATGAAATATAATTGCCATTCACTCGCTGGGCCCACTTCCTCATTTGAGGTTTGACA